CTCTGATTATGCAGCTTGTCCTGGGCATGTGCGTGGCCTTCTACTTTCCCCTGTATACCTGGGAGCTTTTGACTGTCGTAAGTTTTCAAAGACATTCTCACCAGCTTTTGCTCCCAGGCCTTAGGTGGTCTATTTTATGTTTTAGTTATAATCTTTGCCCCAGTCTTAAGCATCTGCTGGTTTTCAGTTTGTTTGGCTTATATTATAGCATATTGAAAAGCTGTGCCCACCACTGGTTTTGGGGTTGTTTGGTTTTTTTGAGTTAGATAGAAAAGAGGTGGACATTATGCATTAGTCCTTCCAGTTGGAACAGATTTGCAATTATTTGCACAGGTAATCTGTTCTGCTGCCTCTGCAGCCTCACCATACTAGATTCTCAAACTGGGAACTGGTTTTCCTTTTCAACCTGCTACTGTGCCTGGGAGGGGATTGGCAAGAGCTAGTAAAAATGCCGCAGAGCTTTCCAGATGCCTTTCTTGAAATCTTTGTAAATCTTTGACTGTTTTCCAGTGTTGTGCCTAAATTGTTTTCAGTGCTTGCTTTCAGTGTTTCAGAGGGACAATACTTTGGAGTTGTATATTCTACCACTTTGTTGATATAACTGCTTTCTTTTAAAAAATTGTATTAATGATTTAAGGAATACCAAAATTTCGTCTTCTTAAATTAAAATTGTCCACTTAGATTTATTTATTTAAAGTAGTTCATGTGTATTTCTGTTTTACATCTGAATTTTTATTACCAAAAAACAATTTCAAAATATTTATAGAGAACTAAATAAGACCGACCATTAAATCATTAGAATGTAGATAAATTGACAATAATAGAGACATGAAAAATTCCTAAATACATGCATTTTCTGTATTTACTTGAGTGCTGATTCTTAGCCGTAAATAGTGGTCCTGGATTGTAGCACAAATAGTTAGCCTACTTGTTTACCTGACTGTTTACCTGATTCCTGATACCAGGTCATATCCTTAGTGTGGCTACGTAGATAATGCCAAGTCTTATGCTCTGTCTTCACCATGTTTCAACATATAAGTAGAGTTTTTTAAAAAATCATCACTTAAAATGGAATTTTAAATGTAACTGACACCTTTCAGTAGCAGTGCTAATTCATTTAACAGACATAAAAGGTTTTATAGGTCTTTACACAAACATTTATGTCATCTTAACCTATGACAACTAACAGGTGGTTACCCATGGCTTTATGGTTAGGAAGTTTAAACTAGGTCCTTTTCCCCTTCCTGTTAAGTATTCATCACATATACTTGGTGACATTTATCTTATAATTCAGAGATAAACCCTTTTTAAAATTATGTCATAGTTATCAGAATTCATAGCTAGTGTGATATGATATTCTAAACTTGATGTTTTTTGATATACACTGAAGACACAATTGAGAGCATGTGTTCATTTATTAGCATTATTCTGGTTCTTTTTAACCTAACCTATCTTAAAAAAACTCTGCTTCTCCCTTCATAAAATGGTATTTGTGCATAAAAAGTACTATAGAATCTCTTGTAAACCTTTGTTTAGTATGATCTCAACAGTGCACAGATAATTACTATAAATGCCCTTCGCTAAACATGACTTCAGTGAAAGCTAAAAAGGAGTCTGGAACTCAATTTTCATGTTTTCAAATTTAAGTCACCATTATACATAGTATTGGCTTAATAAGTTAGATACATGTATATTAGAAATTATTAGTGGAAAATACTATGCCTTTTGTATCCTCGTATGAAACAATATAACTACAAGCATTTTTTCAAATCAGCCATTTATATTAATTGTGAATATTATGAACTCATTTTACAAACTTACCAGCTAAAGAGAAATATATGTATTATATAAATTTCAAATTGTAGTGGTCACAAGTAATTGATCAACTATATAAAAATAAATGTTGACAATGTTATATAACATATAGTAACAATTACATATGTTATATAGTGTATGCAATTTATGTAATATTTAAATTTTACTCATTTAATTAATCTAGATTATTTTATTGATTAGTTTATGTTAAATATTGAAATACTTTTGAAATCACAATTCTTTAAAAAAATGTTAGTCTTGTTAAATTACCTTTTGGCAAGTGAAAGGAAGTCTGTTATCTTAAGTTTCAGTATTTGTGGTGGTTGATCATCTAAATGTCTTTGTATAAGCTTACTTTAATAATGTATTTATGTATGTGTGTCTGTGTGAGAAAGAGAGAGGGAGTGTTCTGAAAACAGCCTATGCATCCTGGTCACAGTCAAGGCTACCTGGTAACTTAGTTCATGAATCAAGAACAACTTAAAACATTATATTAAACTCTCTTGCACCCTCTGTTGTTATTTTTAGGAAACACTACATGTACGTTCCTGTGATTATTGGTGTTAGGTTTATTATAATCACTGCTAAAATTAATACTTAGTATTTTATACTTACCTAAAAATTATGTTGATAGTAAAGTAATATTTGTTTTTAATTCTTACTCATTTTTCCTGTGTTACAGATATGTTTTTATTGTAAAGTAGGTTAAAAATGAAATATGAATCTCTGTTTGCCTTCGATTTTTTTCCTACTTATCAGTTTTTACCCCCTCCAAACGTTCCAAACAAATGAAAGTCTCTACAGTATGTAGCACACTCTATACACAAATTTCCAGAATTACAAATTCTGTCTGTCTTTTTATAAACCTTTCAATTGTCAGACATTTCCTTCCAAAATAACAGCCTGGAATTGTCTATACTAAAATTAAGGATTTATAACTGTAAGGAACAGATGTTTTCATAAACATTTGCTATAATTAATTTCAACTAGAGGATTGAAGGAACAAAGCGGTTTTCCCGCTTCAGACTCTATTGCCTTTTCCTCTTACAGCAAACTCTGAAATCTTTTCTCTAATACTGTTTAGAGAAACACTTGTGCTCCTTATTTGGTGTGTTTTTGTGAGAGAAAAACTGCTTTCCCCTCTTATTACCATGTTTGCAGGTTACATTTAATATATATTCATTTCAACTCAGGTATAAAATAAAGAACACTTTTGTAATGTATAATGATGACAAAACCCAGTAGTTTAAGAAAACCCTAAAGCCTTAATTATTTGAAGGATTTTATATTTGATCTGATAAATATCAGCAGAAGGCAAAAAAATGTTCTGTTGGTGAGATTTTACGTATTTAAGTAATCATAATCTCTAGTTTTAAAGAGAAAGAAGGCTCATATTTTCAATACATGATATAGTTACTTATTCTATGCTGATTATGGAGTGTTTCACAGGAAATGTCTGCAAGCTGTTAAATAACATGTGTTGTAGGAAATTTTCATTTAGCAAGACAGAGACTAATTTTCCTTAAATTTTTTAATTTACTGTTATACCATTAATTTTTTAAAGGAAGTGAAGTATGTTGAGTGAGTAATTTTATGGTCCCAATGTCTTCAAAGAATTAACAGCGTATAACCAGTTAGATTGATATTAAACATTTAGCTGGTTTTTGGATTATTTTCTGCTATGATAATTCTCAACATTTTCAAGTTCTGTACACCATTTTAGGATTTTTGTTTAATTAAAAAAAACTGGAAGTGCATTTTGAAAAATAATAGAGCTAAAAGTTCAGTAAGTGGGCTCAGTTCAGTTCTCATCCTCCGAAAACTTGGGTGCAGCTGTGAAGATTCTGAAGAGAACCAACATTCTTAACTAATCTGTCAACTGTAAAATGTGCGAAGAAAAATAGGTAGCTGTCATTAAAATTACATTTCAGCTTTCAATAACCATTTAATGAGTAGCGTAATTATATAAGTATGGTACCTTAAGTACTATACTCAATAATTAAAAATAATCTCATCTTTAAAGTGAAAGCTCTGTAATTACTATTTGACTTAACCAGGACCACTGTGATGATCTCCACTGGCACCTAAGGTTGTTCACAGTAGATTAAAAGTATAAATTAAAGTTGGATATATCATTAAATTATTAAGCTTTAAATATCATAAAAATGAATATAACCTGATGTTTGAAAGTTACATTACAGAAATTAGGAGTATAAAATATAATCAGATTCTAGTCATTTAATGTGTTTCTTAAAAAGATGGTATGTTTTATAGTAATAGTTCATAAAGTCTTCATAAAGACTATACTTTGCAGTATATATTTTAAATTTTAAACTATTAAATTTCTGTCAATAAGAATATGGATTTTATATCTTGGCATTGTTAAGCAGTTTTTAACTCCTTTAGCAAATTTATTTTTATCTACAATTTTAAACTGATAGGTATGAATTTGTTCTAAATCTGATTTTATGAATGTGCCTGTTGCTTGGGTGAAATTTTTTCCCCTGAATGTTTGATGTTATCACGTAAAGCAGAAATACTTTTGATGTTGCTATTTTTTTTTATTTCTTAAACTGCTGAGCTTTTGCCAACGGGTAAAACCTGAAATTTTGGGAAGAATGTTAAGGTGTATTTGGAGCTCACTGAAATGCGTAATTGTTTACCACCTCCCAAGTCTGCTTTCTTCTTTACTTCTGTGCTTAACAAATTTTCAGATAAGCTAAACTAGGGGCTGGAAAACATTCCAGGTCTGCTCTGTGCCTACTACTGTCTTGTGACTTTAGATGTCTTGTGACTTATGACAGTGTCATGGTAGGTGACTTGGTCACTGACAAAAAGTTGTCCTTTGTTTATAAACATTAGTGAATGATTTAAATGCTTTATAAATTTTGGCTTGTCTGTGATTCATAAGAGAAAAATCTCTACCATTCTTTATTTGTTCCTGTTAGCAGTGACTGTGGTAGTATTTCTATCCAAGTTAGAAGCAGTGGTTTTGGTTTATATTTTAGCATCAAAATAAGTTTTCAGCCAAATGGGCTCTGATTATAAAAGACATTTGGGAGAGGGATAAGCAGATGCATGTTTTTTTGACCCAATATACTGCATAAAGCTATCACATAGTAGCTTTTCAACTGAAATGTTCAGTTTTATAATCTACATTATTTTAATGTTTACATTTTTTCCAGGAGACTCAAATAAAAATGGAAGAAGACCAAGTTCTACATTAGATTCTGATGGGACTTTTAACTCTTATAGGTAGGTGATGAATACGTAGATACATAATATTACAAGATAATGTACAAACTATCCAATCTTACAGGACTCTAACCTTATAGTAATAAGAAACTGCTGCCTGTACTTTAAAAATATGACAAATGTAAAAATATGATAAGCAATTGTTCTGCACATTTATTGAGTAATAGAAAATGCAACATTCTAAATTCTTGAATAAACGGGCCTATTATAGATATCTCTTGTTAACCTGTGTTAGGATAATTGGAATGAATACACATGTAGTACTAAGCTTCATTAGAATCCATTTTTATTTTTGCTTTTTCAGCGTATCTGTGACAGTGTGTATCTGTGACAGTGTGAAAGGCTTCCTTTTCTTTAAGTTTTCTGTGAAACAGAGAGTACTGTTGATGAGTAACTAAGGGGATAAAAGGTAACCCGGGGTTCATCAGGTGCTGTTTGTTAATGTCCCGTCTGGCTCTTCAGCAGCGCACAGGGCAGTTATGATCTCACTTAGTGATTTTAAAAAAGGATACATTAGTTAAGAAAATGTGTATTGTAGCTAGTCTTTGGCCAATATTCTCCTTTTAACTTGAATTTACTTGTGCATTTATGGAATTTGTACCTGCATAACAGAGAAACCTAGAATGAAGAAAGAGTAAAGTGTTTCCAGTAATATTCAAAAATTTGTATACTGAAGCAAAATCATGGAAAAACTAGGTTTACTTTTAGGAGAAAATGTACACATTCAGTAACAGTACATCTTGGCGTTGCAGATAGCAAAGCAGATAGCTGAAGAAATACTTTAACTGGAGCACACCGTCCTCAGGGCTGCCTAGTTCTGGTCCTGGGCAGGAGGAGCATAAAGCACATGCAAGAGCCGTTGTGCACTTGGAAACTCATGCAACTACCGAGCTGTCACTCCTTCTTTCATATAATAAATATGGATTTAACACTTAGAATTTTTATATTTATTTGAAATCATGCTCTATGCCCCTAATTGGAACTGCGTTGTTTGTTTTCTCAGATCCCAGGCAAGCTTTTAACGTCTAGAGTAGGGCCTTGTGCACAGGACGCACTTAGTAGGAATATAGTCAGTGTGAAAGATTTTACAATTTGTTTATCAATTCCAGAAATGAGATGGTAATTGAAACACTTGACATCTTTATTTTATACCAGTTGGGGTCTGTATAAATAATCAGTCGTTCAAGTGTCATGGATACTACAACAGGCTTGTGTTCCCATGTGATAATACTGGAAGGTATTATCACAGCAGTAAAGATCATATGTTGTCATTATATTTCCACTGATCCTGTTCTACCTTATAAACGTTGGAATTCTCCAGATCGCTCATTTTAGTGCTGAGTTGTGATATAAACTTGAAATTTGACATATTAAATAGTAGGTAGCATCCTTTATCCAAACATATTGTAGCTGATCACTCAAAAAACAAAAGGTGAATATAAAAGATAGTTAAATAAATATTCATGATTTGGCAAGTAACTGAGGAATGTTAATATGATAATTTGTATGAAATCTATGGTGGTAATATTATTAGATATAAATACAATAAAAGCAGACAAAAGGAAAATAAAGACATATTTCAAAGGAAGGAAAATCTGTGTGCATATAAATTCAGTTGGTGAATTATATTTTACAATTACATTTATAATATAGCTAATTATAGTAAGTAATGGACATAATATAAAGTTAAGAGAAATGTGTTAATGTGAATGCGCAGTATTATCTCGTAGTTTATTTTCTTGAATAGTTTGAAGATAAAGGATCTTCTATTGAATGATAATTGTATTTTGAAAATGAACTCCTAATGCAACTTTGCACAATAAATACTAATGTTGTTAACTAATATATTTTTAATCAATGCCTGTCAGTGTTGTAATGTTAGGATATTAATTTATTGTTGTAATTAAAAAGGCAAGATAAAAAGCTCACGTAGTACAGTCTATAAAAACAAGCTTTTAATAGTTGGCAGGCCAGTGCTGTTATTAAATAGTATTATAGTATTTAAGGTGTGAAATGAATATTTTCCTACTCAGTAGGCAATAGCTCTTACAATATAATGAGCTTACTTGTGAATTTGACACTTGGGTTAAATGCAGAATTTATAGAAGCACAGCTCTGGGGTATATTTTCATATTAAGGCTAACTGATAAAACCTAGGAATTGTTGCAGAATCACACTAAAATGGCAACAGAATTGTCAGTAAAATTCACTTTTGAAAATGAAAATTATTTTCCCCGCCATCATAGCTCTTTTAAACTAACTAGAAATAGGTCATTGGAAAAATGTGAATATTCCAAACCCTCCAACATCCTAACAGTTCTACCTTTGAATTGTTTAAACTGCCTCAGAAATCCCGACCACCCTTCCCAGCTAGACAGTTCTGGCAGTCAGCCGAGTATGAACACACTCAAGCTCTGTCTACTTGTGTCCAGGATAATGATCAGCCTTAGTTTGTCATCTATTAAAGTGGATGCTTCCTTCTCACAACTGTTTTAAAGACTGAGATAAAATGCATGGGATAAAGCCTTTTGAAAACCTAAATGCAGAGCCATAGCGTTGTTATTATTATTCCTTTGTGCCTGCCTCAAAAATTGTCAACTTTGTAGCCTTACTCCTCATTTAACCCCCATCAAGTACACCCCGTCAGAGCATATGCTGAGGTTTTATTAACTTTCGATTTTGTCACCTAAATCCGTATTTTCCATTGTTTGTTTCTGTTATTGTGGTCTATAGCTTTTCCATTTTGGGAGGGCATAGTCTCTTTCTTTCACTGTTTTGTTCATTAGAAATACCCAAACATAGCAAGTTGGTTAAAATCCTGACTCCAAACACTTTGGAGACTTTGATCAAGTTTTAGCCTCACTTTTCCTCATCTTTAAAGTGGCTGTAATGAAACACACTTCAGAAATGTTAATGGGATCATGTCACTAATGTCACGTGGCAAATGCTGAATACATGTGACATCTTCTGGTCGATGTGCGGTCATTGTCATCATTGTTATTTTCTTGGTAATGTAAAAATTTTACTGTAGCACTCTAGGGACACCAAAAAGAAGATTTCTGAAAATGTGTCTTACAGGAAAATGACTTTGGTCTGTTAGTGGAAAGAGGGCTAAGAACAAGCCTAACCTGAGGCTTGAGACTCTCAATCTCTGGTATAGCATTATAAATCGCCTTTATATAACAAAATTGTATACATAGTAAAGATAAAAAGAAGATGTTTTATTATCAGCATAAGTTCAGAGATGGATTCTGACCCAAAATTGTGAAATTTAAAATTGATGCACCCTAACTATAGCTTTGTGTGCCCACCATTCATAGATTTGGTTTTCATAGGCTGGGAGGTTTTACTTTGGATGTGTCTTTTGTGATTTTTGCTTCATTGATTGAAAATAGAGTACAGCTGCATTTAACTCATAGGGTACCAGAATGGTTGTTGCATGATGCCTGGGTAATAGACTAGGTCTTGTTTTGGAAGTTTTGAGTAGAATTTCATTGTATAACTCCTGACTAATTTGCAGATGACTTATTGAAATGGGAAATGAATAAGAATTGAGATTGATGGTTTACACGTTATATCTTGTCATATTTTTAGAGACTAATTTTAATGTTTTTGTCAGATGACATGAGCTTTTTCTGTTTCTTATATAACCATTAATACTGAGAGACCCCTTGCTGGGTATGAAAGAAAAGTAGTTTGCCAGTTAGCAGTTTGCAATATATGTTTGGCTAAGTGACTGTAGCACAGGGTCACGTGGTAGAAGGAATATTCCCTCACTGCCACCCCAACCCCTCTTCCCAAAGGCAGCTGACCTTCTCCTCTGCAAAGAGGCAAGCCCCTTGCCAGCATATATGACTACAGACTATTACATTAATCTATTTAGCTGTAGTACCAGCTGCTTGCATGTTTTTAATTATCTTATTAGGTGGTATAACAGTGACCTATGAAATAAATTGAAGGTGAACATTTTGAAATTTCCTTTCATTTACTCTACGTTTCTAAATACCTTTATTGATTAAAGTACAACCTCTACAGAAGTTCATAGGAAGTCTATATGGTTTTTGAGTCAATGTAATGCTTTTTATTATTTTTTTTATTTTTATTTTATTGATTATGCCATTACAGTTGTTCTATTCCCCCCTTCATTCCCCTCCACCCTGCACCCCCCACCCCTACTCCCCCCCTTTAGTTTATGACCATGTGTCTCAAGTTCTTTAGATTTGATATTTCCCATACTATTCTTGCTCTCCCCCTATCTATTTTCTACCTACTGTCTATGCTACTTATTTTCTGTACCTTCTCCCCTCTTCTCCTTCTCCCACTCCCCTGTTACTAGCCCTCCATGAGATCTTCATTTCTAGGTTTCCACTCCTGATCTAGCTGTCCTTTTAGTTTGCTTTTGTTTTAGGTGTGGTTGTTAATATCTGTGAGTTTGCTGTCCTTTCACTGTTCATCTTTTTTATCTTCTTTTTCTTAGATAAGTTCCTTTAACATTTCATATAATAAGGGCTTGGTGATGATGAACTCCTTGAATTTGATCTTATCTGAGAAGCACTTTATCTGCCCTTCCATTCTAAATGAAAGTTTTGCTGGATAGAGCAATCTTGGATGTAGGTCTTTGGATTTCATGACTTGGAATACTCCTTTCCAGCCCCTTCTTGCCTGTAAGGTCTCTTTTGAGAAATCAGCTGACAGTCTGATGGGAACTCCTTTGTAGGTGACTGTCCCCTTAGCTCTTGCTGCTTCTAGGATGTTATCCTTCATTTTAATCTTGGCTAATGTAATGATGATGTGCCTTAGTGTGTTTCTTCTTGGGTCCAACTTCTTTGGGACTCTCTGAGCTTCCTGGATTTCCTGGAAGTCTATTTCCTTTGCCAGATTGGGGAAGTTTTCCTTTATTATTTGCTCAAATAAGTTTTCCACTGGTGGCTGTTCTTTCCCCCTTCTGGTACCCCTGTAATTCGGATGTTGGAGCATTTAAAGATGTCCTGGAGGTTCCT